GTGCCATTTCTGGTTTTCTGGTGGTTAATTGGAGATAAGAGTCTCACTGACTTTCCTGCCTAGGCTGGCTTTGAACCACGATCCTCAGATCTCAGCCTCCTGAGTAGCTAGGATTACAAGTGTGGGCTACCAGTGCCCGGCTATTTTTTTTTTTTTTTGGTCACTAGCAGCAATATATTTGGAACCTGGTAGGTATCACAAGTTACAAGGTGGATAAAATCAGGACTGATAGTTTTACTTAATAGAGACATCAAGGATCTCTTTCATAGTAAGATTCTTTTCTATTCTTGAAGTATATTTCAACATATACAGGTTTTTGGAGGACACATTTCTTTAATAAAATATAGTTAAAAATTTAGATCTACATAAATTATTAAAATATATAATCAAGTTACATGGCCAAGCACAGCCATGGTTATGAATTATAAATCTAAGAGGTTGAGAGTTAACTGCTATATTACTCCCTAGATTGGCCCTGTTCATAGACCCTGAACTAATTCCATTTAATTTATCTGCTTTAATAGAGATATGCTACTGTGTCTTCTTAATGGCAAGAGAATTCCAGTTACATATGTGTGGCATATGTGCAGCATACATGGTTTTAGTGAAAGATATTTTTCCTTTAATAAATCGATACAGTATTTCCATTTGTCCTCAATTTCTTAGGCTCCCTTTCTGAGACCAGATACTGTACAAGGTACCAATATCTGTGCATAGAATTAATTACTAAAGAAAATTTCTGAATATTAAAATTCATATTAAAGCAATCAATTCATAAAAATAGGCTGCTACCTTGAAAAAATCCAAGTACACATGATTTTTAGAATACTGCCTGCGATTATGACATGGAACGTGGTCTTTTGTGTTCATAAGGTATCTTGCATCCATCTCATTGTTACCAGGATATGATAGCACAATTTCTTTGCACTGAAGGCAAGGAAGTAAAAGAAATTATTAGCTGAAAAAAACTTTCTTATAACAATAATGGTGACAACAATAAGATCGGAAGCAACAAGAACTGTCCTCCCCCCCCCCGCCAGAATCCTCCACCCCACCCTGCCACAAACCAAGGTATTAGAACACAGATGACATTATCTTGCAATTACTCAGGTTTGTCTGACAGATTTCATTCTTTTGTAAGAGAGCATTTTATTTGAAGCCTCAAAGAGGAAAAAAAAAGCCAACTGCAGTTTTTGCCACAAAAAGACAGGTGGCGTAAGCATGCAACACTTACAAAAAAAAAAAAGTGATTATTTTTCTCTGGGCTTCTTTGAAAAAACTCGCCTGTGCTGGGGTTTGTGGCTGAGCTGGTGACGTCAGTGTGGCAGTGCAGACTCAGGCGGCGGCTCCCTATAAGCTCAGGAGCTGTCCGGTGCTGAACTGGTCCAGCTCATCCACTGGACTCGGAGGGACATGCTGTGTGCCTTCTCTGCCATCTAAGAGGTAGGATTGCTCTTCTCTTCGATTTACTGGACAGTTCTAGATAGTGTGTTCTGCCCTCAGTTCCTAGCTGAAAGAAAAAAAAACATAGGACAAGCTTATGCGGGTAAGACAACTAAATAGCAACCTGATGCTCTTCATCCAATGCAAGGATATTATCTATGTATGTGTATATGAATGAGTCTGTGATTTACACTGATTGGTATGAGAGGTGGGAACAGGATGTTATTTATACAATGTATGTAGGGCAAGTGAAAAAGTTAAGGATTTCAGTGTCGGTGCAAATCTTAATGTAAAGTTAACCAAACCTGCTGTTTTGTTTCTTCCCTTGATGTATGTTTCTCTTCTGAAAAGTCAGATAAACAATCAGGGATATAAATTGTATGCTTAATATTCTTAACAGTATGTTTCCAGTGATTGAAAGGCTATTAATCACATTAGTCACAGGGGTAGCCAATTTAGGAACTAGTTATTTTTTTCTTTGGTTTACTTCATAAGATTCTTCCAATTACCTTCTTGATTGTTTTTAGAAATTGTTTTTAGAAGTAGTATGTTTTGAAAAGGTTTCTGTTCTTATGTCCTAATTTTAATCCTAGGAAAGTAGCTTAGAATGATGATTCTGAACACAGGCTTTTTCTTATTTTCTGGGTGAAATATTAAATATTAGCTTGGGGCATAGTTGGATGTGATTTTGACTTACAGAGAAATGGTAATTTTGAATACATGGTGAAAACATTCAGAACTGCATAAATTAGTGTTAATGGAGATCGTGCAATGCTTTGCTAAAGATTTGAATTGGAGCAAGTTTTTGTTTTTGTTTTGTTTTGTAGTCTAACTAGATAGTTGTTCAAATGAAATACATCTATATGTGTTTTGATGTTTCAGTGTCAATGTTCCTGTCTGATCTCAGTAGAAAGGTTTTAATAATGGCTTAAAAGGTTTTCATAATGGCTTTCAAGGGAGAAAATGGAGTTTCTATTATTTAGATTTCAGAAAATTAAATTTTAAATCAAATCCTATATGAGTTATAAGAGTGATGGAGACCATATTTTGCTACTTAGATAAAAGAGCTGCAACCAGGAAAAGAACTCTGTTGAATCTTAAAGGCAATAACTATGTTATCCAAATTCAACTTGAATAAATGAATAGAGGGTAGTATTTGTTAGGCTGGGGTCTAGAAGGGTGAAATGAGCACTCCACTTCAATTCTATGGCTAGATTTAAAGAGAAACGCAAAATCCATGTGGTAAGAATATTTCTAGAGTGCTTCAACAGAGCTGTTTGTAATGATGTTCCTTGAGAATGTTTTCTTTCCAGATGATTATTGAGAAGCTAATAAAAAATGATGCCAGGTACCACAACAGTAATAGAACTTTGTATTTTTCTGGGGTTGGATTTTTAAAAAAATTGTTCCCCCTCCTTTTTCTTTTTTATTTATGGACTGGGCTAGATATCTCTATTTTTTTTTCAGATGACTGAAGAACTTGAAAAGGCTAATACTGCTACCGATGCTTAATATATTGATATTATTGGTCATGTATATATATTTTGAATTTTTGGTAACTTTAGCTGTGTTGTCAACTTTTTGCAAAAGCATTCCATTTTACCATGTTAGATTGGCATTGTATAGAAATTAAGATCCATATTGGTCTAGAAACATTGAGCTTATTTTTTCCATTGCACAGGGGTAAATGCACTGTATTAAATATGTAAGGTCTTACCTATGTGTATTTGATTACAGAAACTTAGAGTTTTCTCTAAATAATGTGAAAAAAGAATATTTCCAGAGGATAATTTCAGAGAAAATAAGTTCAATAAGGTTTTCAACACTATTGTGTCAAATGCCAATGTTTAAAATTCATTACCCAAACTAAATTATCCTTAAAAAAATATAAAGAAAAATGCATAATGTGCTTTCACTTAAATCTATGAATACAATCACTTATAAACATTTATTAATGATAAAGATTTTTTAAAATATTCTCAAAAAGCCTTAGTAATTTACTTAATGGGAATCATTTTAATAAAAATATGTATCTATGCTTAAAGAAGCTTCCATAACTGTATACAATTTTAAGCCCCGAAAACAATGACATTACTTACCAGCCAGATCTAATAAGCAAGGATATCTTCTACAACTGATGGCTAATCTTATTCAAAATTTTACCCATATAACTTAAAGCTCATGTATCACATGATGATCCAGCAAAGACACAAACAAGCCTGCAGACTTATTTTACATGCATTTTATTGATAAGTTTATAAGTTATGAGTATTTAAAAAGCCTTTTCCAATGTTTGCAATGCCAAATATAAAACATCTAAAAAGAATTCCTCTTGCTTATTCATATGTGAGATTTTTAACGCTCTGGAGAAAAAAAAATGAATGAAGATTTTTTTTTAGTTGGAATATTTGGACACGTTGTCTGTGTTTATCTAAACTGGGAGTTACACAGTGGTTATTTTAAGCTTTCTAACAGTATGAGTCATTTAAGATTTCACAGGTCCTTACAAAAATAGACACAGGCATAAGACAAATGGAATCTGAGCACTCTCAAGTTTAGAAATAGACTAGTTAAGTAAACTTATGTTGGTTCCAAAGCATCTGTTTATTTACTATACACTCGTGAATAATGATAAAAAGTATAATCATTATTTCTTTTAAGATAATTATAATAAAAGCACAAGAAGGAACAAGGAACAAAAAGTTTTAAACCAGTTTATTATTTTAGCATGCTTACAGAGAAAGGAATTTCATTGATTTAGCCTAGTAGCTGAGGTCCAGGAAGGCATAAATTCTGCGGTTTATTAATTGGTAATTGGATTTAATGTGAGAGTGAGAACAAACTATTTCTGAAAAACAAATGTGACTAGGTTTCATGGTGAAGGCGGTCAGTATAACGGGCTAAAGTGCAAGGTTACATAATTATATTTATTAACATTGTCATCAATGGGTTTCTACAACGAAATTAGATAAGTCTGCAATCTTTATTAATTGCTATTTGTACTACAAATCTTTTATTTTAATTTAATTTTTGTCTTTAAGTAGTTGTACAAAAGTATTGCCATTCCACAAAATGCCATGAACTCTGTAATCATAGGTCATAATTATGCATATGCATATTTAAAACATTTAACATAACATATTTAAAAACCTTATTTAGCCAATGATTTTAAATAATTATGCTATATGAATAGAAAAAAGTATTTTTTTTTACTAAAAAGGAACAACATATGCTAAAAGGAAACTTCAAGTTTTTTAAGTGAGAAATAAAATTTGAGAGGTCTGATGTCAGTGGGATTTTTTTTTGGTGACAGATGAACCAAGTGAATGCTACAGAAGCTCGAAGGAAATGGGCAAAGGATTTGCTAAAGATTCCTATGATTAGCTCGTGAGGATCATAAAGGAACTAATAATACTCCTAGCCTTAACCTGAGTGAAATTACCTCTGCCACTGTTTCTTTCTTTCTAGCCCTTCCATTTCTTTTGCTACAGTGGCTTCTAGTGTGTCTCACTTGTGCTAACTCATGTTTTCTATGCTTTAAGGAAATCTTGAGAAACATGGTAGACGCTAAGACACCCCGGCTGGGAGCCTGTCTCTCTCTGATCCATTTAATCGTCCTCATCTCTGGAGCTCACGCCGCCTCATTTCAACGCAGCCAGCTGCTTCGGAAAGAGCCAGACCTCCGATCGGAAAATGGCCCCAAGTTACCGAATCCTGAAATGATCAGGGCTCTAGAGTACATAGAGAAGCTCCGACAGCAAGCCCACAAAGAGGAGAGCAGCCCCGACGACGGCCCCTACCCAGGCGGCGTCTCTGGTCCTTTCCAGCCCAAAGAGAACGGCGGCGGCGAGGACAGCCGTCTGCCGGAGAGCTCCAGGGACTCGCTGAGTGAGGAGGAGTGGATGCGGATCCTGCTGGAGGCCCTGAGACAGGCTGACGACCCTCCCCAGCCGGCTCCCAAGGACAGCAAGGCCTACGCTTGGAGCATCCCGAAGAGCTTCCCGGCGGACCTGATGGAGGACTACGAGCCGCAGCCGCAGTGGCCCGAGAGGAAGCTCCAGCGCCTGCGGCTCCCGGGGCTGTACGAAGAGCCGTCCCGGGACAACCCCTTCAAACGCACCAACGAGATCGTGGAGGAGCAGTACACCCCGCAGAGCCTGGCCACGCTGGAGTCTGTCTTCCAAGAGCTGGGCAAACTGACCGGGCCCAACAACCAGAAACGAGAGCGCGTGGAGGACGATCCGAAGGCGCTGTACACGGGCGACGAAGATGACCTCTACAAGGCCGGCAACCTGGCCTACGAAGACGTGGTGGGCGGGGAAGACTGGAACCCCATCGAGGAGAAAATCGAGGGCCAAGCCCAGGAGGAGGCGAGGGACAGCAAAGAGAACACCGACCAAAGAGAACCGATCAACGAAGAAACCAAGCGCGCAGCGCAGCCCGGGCTCCAGGAGGAGGAGCAGCTGTCCGGGGACGCCTCCAAGGTGCTGGCCTACCTAAAGAGGTTAGTGAGCCCCGCGGCCAGTGGCAGGCCCCAGACCGGCCCGACGGGGGACAGGCCAGCCAGGCTTCTGCAGAAACCCCTCGACTCCCAGTCTATTTATCAGCTGATCGAACTCTCGAGGAATCTGCAGATGCCCCCCGAAGACTTGATCGAGATGCTGAAGACCGGAGAGAAGCCCGTGGGCTTGGGGGAGCTGGACCAGGAGCTAGACCTTCCCGTGGACCTCGAAGACGTCGCGGACGCTGACCTTGACCATCCAGACCCATTCCCAAGTAAGATGCTTTCCAAGGCTGGGTACCCCCAAACCCCCGGGCGCGCCTTGGCCGAGGCCTTACCCGATGGGCTCAGTGTGGAGGATGTTTTAAATCTGCTGGAGATGGAGAACGCTGCCAATTCCAAGCCACCGTATTTCCCCAATCAATACAGCCGCGATAAAGGTCTGGCGAGGCTCCCTTACGGTCCCGGAAAACCTCGAACCAACCAGCTTTCCAAAGCTGCCTGGATGCCCGAGGTTGAAAACCAACAAGAACTCTATGAGAATCTGAACGACAAGGACCAAGAGTTGGGAGAGTACTTGGCCAGGATGTTAGTGAAATACCCCGAGATCATGAATTCCAACCCCGTGAAGCGAGGGCCCATTCCTGACTCTTCCGAAGATGACCTTCTGGAAGAAGAGCAGTTGGAGCAGGCCATCAAAGAACACCTGAGCCAAGGCAGCTCCCAGGAGACTGATAAAGTGGCCCCGGTGAGCAAGAGGTTCCCTATGGGCCCCCCGAAGAATGATGACTCCCCGAACAAACAGTACTTGGATGAAGATCTGCTCATGAAAGTGCTGGAGTACCTCAACCAAGAAAAGGCTGAGAAGGGAAGAGAGCATGTTACTCAGAGAGCCATGGAAAATATGTGAGCAGCTCTCTTGAATGGCCCCATGTCCCCTCTTCCCAGCCCAGGTGAACCCTTGATTTCTCCTTAGTGTGTTGACTTCTTTCCTGTTAACACTGTACTACCCTTTAAATGATGTACAGGCAGATGGCTCCAGGTAATTGGGGAATCTGCTTCATTTACTCTGCGATGTTCTCTTGTATGTGGATTTGTGTAAATGTTATGACTCCCGGATTAAAAAAAAATTCTGTCCTTTATTCAAGAAAGATATCTATGATAGTGTTTAATAGTGCATCTAATGGCCGTGGCATTGCTAACGTTCATACATGATAAAGAGTGTCCTATAATTCTCTTGGAAGTTTTTAATATTTATTGAACTATTTTGTTACTGTCTGTAGTGTTTTGTGGAGTACTGGAGCAAAAAAAAATCAATAAAGCATTATAAATATGTAGTTTTATTTATAAGGTCTTTTCTATTGTGTGTTTTATTGTTGGTTAATAAATGTTATTTCTGGAGACCTTTGGACTCTTCATTCTGGAAAACAAGAGACAATATCTGTACACCAAGCAATGTGGAGACCAAAGAGCAATCTGTTACTGTGCCCAGGCCATGCAGGTAAGCAGCAACGAGCTTAATATGTGATCAAGTCCTCTGCCTAGAAATGCAAACTTCCCACAGCCTACCGCAGCTTTCCAGGTGATTTTCCACACACTATTTATGCAACAAGCCTTTTGGAATAATATTTATATCTTTTACCTTGCTTGATATAAATAAAAGACATTAAATCTCCCATATTCACAAACGGTAGAAAGGAAAGAAAGAAGAAAAGAATGAAGGAGGGAGGGAGGAAGGAAGAGAGGGAGAAGGAGGAGGGAAGGAGGGAGGGAGAGAGAGAAAATTGCAATGGGCATGGTGATCAGAAATGTTCACAGTTTTGGAAGCAACTTGCCTCTTCCCAGGTGACCTTGCTCCTCAGAGGACAAAGCTGCCTATTAGAGAAGTCAGTGGGCACAGTCTTAGTGAGAACACCTAGTCCACATTCCTTGGTGGACTAGGCCCTTGTGCATAATTATTACCATGGATATCTTTGAAGTATAATGGTGCCAGCATCTAACCTATCAACAGGGAATCAGCAATGACAATCGCCCCAAGAAAACATATCCAACAACAAAATAATCAGGGTTATACACAAGGAAATAAACAATGGCCTGTATTAGGTACTTGTGGTGTGTCACGCACTATACTAAACCCTTTTCTCCTTTAGTTCATAAAGTGATACACACTGCTATCAGCTTATTTTCAGTCCCTCACGTTATATCTGGGAAAACAAAATGATGATCTCAAAGAAAGTCAGAGTAATGAGTTGCCAAAATGTGTTTCCATTCCATGCTCTGCGTACTGTGCCGGCTCAGCCTATGGTTAGGATGGCGAAGGTGGGATGTTCAGGGGATCATCAAGTTTTGGTGTGGGTTACTTCCGAAGGCTGGGACATATGCATTTCTCTCCTTTCTCCCTCCTTCTCTCTCTCTGTGAATGTTTGTGTGTGTGTGTGTGTGTGAGTGTGTGTTTGTGTGTTCAAGTATCTCTGAACTATCAAAGGACAGTGAGAGGGTCTGGATACCTAGGAAAAAAACACGAAATGCAAGTTTCCCTACATATTCCCAGACTGTTTTTTTTTAAAAATTCAATTATACCCTTTCTTGGATTCTGGAATCCTCAGGTGGAAGGAAACTTAGAGATGACTGTGTCTACAAAGTTTCTAACACGTGGTTTTTATTCTCCAACAGTTAGAAGCTAGGAAGTTGCTATCTTACACAGAGGTGCTTTGATCAGCTAGTTGTAAACACCATTGCCCTCAGATCAGTGGTTCTTTAGATAGCTGAGTGTGTCTTTAACCCAGAGCTAAGCATGGTTCTTACATATGTTTCCTTCCACATGGGTCTGATACTTTGTTAGGCATGGTGTCGGATGCCTCGGACCAGTGGAATCAAATCAGGGCTATTCCAAGTGGAGAGATGCAGCACATTCACGTGACAAAGTCTAAGGGATATATTTCTATTCCATGTTTGCATATGCATGAGGTCACAGCCACACATAACATCCGACCATTGAACACTCTCTCCAACTTCATTTAGTGTACAGTAAGTCTCTCCTTGGATCCTGAGACAACCATGGAACGATTTCCCTGCTAGCCCTATGTAGAAATAAGAACATGGTACATGAATATCTGCCCCTACAGAGTCTTGCCTTTGCTATGATCTTTGAGGTTAGGTAATGAGAACAAACTACTGGACAGACACTGCTAATGAGGCTCCAGGACAGGATTAATATACAGACCTGTGGGCCACAAACCTCACACATCCTGCTGTACCATGCTGCTTTGTTCTTAAGATCTCAGTCAAGCTTGAATTCCATGGCTCCCTAGTAGAGACATTTCAGGAATGAGGATTGGCAGTCAGGAGATATTTGAATTTTAATTGGGATATATATTCCTTTTTTGAATCTTCCCCTTCCCTCCCCCAGACACCAGTCAACAAGTATCTTTGCCTTTTGGCAGTCCTACCATATCCCCAGCTATTGACTCATTGTCACTTATTTCTGATCCAGACTTTTTTTTTTAAATACACACACTAGCATGTTGCTCTTTAGCATAAGAAATGAAGCTCTGCCTTGTGGATGACAAATAAATTGGAACTAGAGCAACCTTGTTCCTTTCTCTGCCAGAAGCCTCCTCCATCAGAAATCAGAGGTAGCTTTAGTAGGGCCTTGTTTGTGGTCATTTGGGTAAATGCCCAGGAGTGGGATTGCTGGGTCAGAGGGGAGCTCTGTGTTAGTTTTTGAGGAACCTCCATACTGCTTTCCAGAGTGGTTGAACAAGTTTACACTCCACCAACAGTGTAGGAGCATTCCCTTTGGGCCAGCTGCACCCTCGACGGCATCTGTTATTATCAGATTTCTTGATAATGTATATTCTACCTGGGGCGAGGTAGAATCTCGATGTTGTTTTGATTTACATTTCTTTTATGGCCAGAGATGTTGAACATTTCTTCATATGTCTATTGGCCATTTATTTTTATTTTTTGGACGGTTGTGGGGCTTGATGTCCTTGAGCTCTTGTTCAAGGCTAGCGCTCTACCACTTGAGCCACAGTGCCACTTCTGGTTTTCTGGTAGTTTATTGGAAATAAGAATCTCATAGACTTTCCTGCCCAGGCTGGCTTTGAGTGGTGATCCTCAGATCTCAGCCTCCTGAGTAGCTAAGATTATAAGCATGAACCACTGGCACCCAGTTGTTACCATTCTTATTTCCTGCATTATTTACCATGGCTAAGATATGGAACCAACCCAGATGCTCCTCAATAGGTGAATGGATCAAGAAAATGTGGTATATATACACAATGGAATTTTATGCTTCCATCAGAAAGAATGACATCATCCCATTTGTAAGGAAATGGAAAGACTTGGAAAAAATCCTATTAAGTGAGGTAAGCCAGACCCAGAAACATAGGTTACATGGTTTCTATCATTTGTAATAATTAGTATATTCTAAGATAGTCCCAGTAGAGGATCACAATAGTTCAATAGCTATGTACATATGGCCATATAAAATGATGTCACTCACCATGAACTCCAAGATATGGAAGCAAGAAGTTTTTCTTTGTTGTTGTTGTTTTTAATGTAGTGTGTGAAGTTATTTCTTTTTTCTTTTTCTTTTTTCCTTTGGTTTATCCCCTGTATTTGATTTTAGTACCCTGTGTCTTGTATATACGCTTATTTGATCTGGGGAAGGGAAGGGGAATAACAGAATGGTGAGACAAAGAACAAAGGGTGAACCAATGTGATAGACACTATATCAGAAGACACTATATTGGAAATGAACTTTACAACTTGATGGGGTTTGTGGGGGAGGGATAGTGAGAGAAAAATGAGGGAGTAACAATGTTTGACAAAAATGGGCTCATCACCTTACTTATGTAACTGTAACCCCTCTGTACATCACCTTGACAATAAAATTAAATTAAAACAACAACAAAAAGAAATCAGAGGTGGCTGAAGCCCTCCAGGCAGATGCCCTCTGCAGGTTACCATGGAGAGAGAGGACCGGGAAATTATTTGCATTCTCAAACATCCCACCTTTTGCAGGAGTCCAGGCCTCCATCAGTGGTCAGATGGTGGCCTTGAACTTTGTATGCTCACAAGACTTGCCTTACCAGACCTGCCCGTTCTTCAGCCCACCTAGCTGTCTTGAGGACTATTAGGACTAATCTGGCTGTGCCCTTTGTAACAAGACTTTCAGGCCATCCCTTATTCCCCATACTCAGATAGCCCTTAATTCTCTAAGTCACTTTTCTGGATACCAACTCTTGCTTTAAATAGTCTACACCCTTTTTCTCTATACTTTTTGATAGAGAAAAGTCAGCCATAAGCCAAATGCCTGACACCACCATGTTTTGAAATGTTCTCCTTCATGTCTTCCTCTAAGGGATGCTTTCTCCTGAAATCCCTTTTCTCTCTTGGTCCTTCCTCTCTCCTTCCCTCTCTCCCCCCCTCCTTACTTCTTCCCTCCCTCCTTCCCTCCCTTCCTCCCTTCCTTCCTTCATTCCTTTGCTGGCTCCTTCCTTCCTTCCTTCTTTCTTTCCTTCCTTCTTTCCTTCCATCTATCATCCTTCCTTCCTCTCTCCCTCCTTCCCTTCCTCCCTACTGGCCCCTCCCATTTTCCTTCCTTCACTCTCCTTTCTTTTTGGAGATACTAAGAACTGAGCTCAGGGTCATGCACTGGCTAAGCAGGTACTCTTATCACTTGAGCCATGCCCCCAGCACTTTTTGCTCTTGTTATTTTCTCTCGTAAGTTCTCAGATTTGTGCCCCAAATGGACCATAATCCTCCTATATATGACAGGTATGTGCCACCATGCCTGGGCTTTATTGGTTGAGATGGGGCTGAGGTTGAACTGTGATTCTCCTGATCTTTACTTTCTGAGTAGCTAAGATTATAGGTGTGACCCACCACTTCTGGTCTCTTCCT